CGGACATGATGGTGATGGTCAAGAACTCCAGAGCCTCCACCCTTAGAGAGGCAATTGAAGAGGCAAAAGTCATGTAATCGGGTTATGTTAAAGGAAGAGAAGAGAAAGTGGCAAGTAGTGAGAAGAGGAAGTGGGAAGGACAATATGCGCCTTCCAAGAAGCCAAACCACTTCAACGACATCAGTCATGGAGCCAATCTTAGGAAGGAGGCCAAGTGGTGTCCCAAATGCCGCATTAGGCACCACGGCCCGTGCACCACCAACTTTACCCCTGCAAGATGCTTTAAATGTGGGAAACCAGGCCAGTCACAAAATGAGTGTCTGATCAAGGGACCCATTTGTTTTGGTTGCAGAGAGCCAGGTCACTTCAAGAATGATTGCCTGAAGTTGAAGGCGGGAGGGGGTCAGGCAAGAAAATAAAGTACCCCGAAAGCAGCCGGTCGAGCTTTTCAGATGACGGTGGAAGTAGCTAAAGCATCGACGGATGTGGTGTTGGGTACGTTCCTTGTTAATTCCGTACATGCACATGTGCTTTTTGATTTGGGTGCTTCATGTTCTTTTGTGTCCATTGCATTTTATCAACATTTGCACATGCCCCCTAGTGCACTAGAAGATGCCCTGATTGTAGAGATAGCGAATGGTAGTCGAGTCCTAGTGAGTGAAGTCGTTAGGAGTTGCGTATTGGGAATTGAAGGGAAGGAATTTCGGGTAGATCTCATACCCATGACTATCGGTTGATGTCATAATTGAGATGGATTGGTTGGTAGAGAACCAAGCGGAAATATTATGTTCTAAGAAATTGATTTGAATTCCTTTACCGGACGGGGATACAGTGCTAGTTTACAGAGAAAAAAAAAAGAAAAATGTAGTACTCCTATCCATGGTAAAGGCGCGCAAGTGTTTAGCTAAGGGATGCCCCTCGTTCATCGCATACGTGTTGGATGCCAAACTAGAAAAAAGAAAAATTGAAGACGTGAAAGTGGATAGCGAATTTTCCGATGTATTTTCGGAAGAATTGCCTGGTTTACCACCCGATAGGCAAGTGGAGTTCCGAATCAACCTTATTCCAGGAGCCGCTCCAATTGCTAGAGCACCTTACCGTTTGGCGCCATCCGAGATGCAAGAGATGATGTCGCAATTGCAAGACCTTCTAGAGAAAGGATTCGTTAGACCGAGTTCGTCACCATGGGGAGCTCCAGTCTTATTTGTAAAGAAAAAAGACGGCACCATGTGGATGTGTATCGACTACCGAGAACTCAATAAGGCAGCTGTGAAAAACAAATACCCCCTTTCCAGAATTGACAACCTTTTCGATCAACTTCAAGGTGCATGTTGCTTCTCAAAAATTGATTTTCGTTCGGGATATCACCAAGTACGAGTGAAAGAAGATGATGTGGCAAAGACGACTTTTAGGACGAGATACAGACACTATGAATTCTTGGTCATGTCTTTCGATTTGACGAATGCGTCGACGGTATTCATGGACTTGATGAATCGAGTGTGCCGACCATTCTTTGACAAGTCAATAATAGTATTCATTGATGACATACTCGTTTATTCTAGGGACGAGTTGGACCATGAGCAACACCTTCGGGAAGTTCTCAAAGTGTTAAGAAAGGAAAAGTTGTATGCAAAATTCTCCAAATACGACTTTTGGTTAAAGGAGGTTCAATTCTTGGGTCACGTTGTCACTCGAGACGGGTTGAAGGTGGACCCATCCAAGATCGAGGAGATGATGAATTGGGAACCACCAAAGAGTCCATTAGAAATCTGAAGTTTCTCGGGTCTGGCAGGTTATTATAGGAGATTTATCCAAGATTTCTCCAAGGTCGCTTCTTCCTTAACGGCATTGACTAGGAAGAATGTGAAGTTTATCTGGACTGAAAAACAAGAAAATGCTTTCAGAACTCTCCAAAAGAAATTATGTGAAACCCCGTTCCTTTCCTTACCCAAAGGGTCCGAAGACTTTGTAGTTTTTAGCGACGCTTCAAAAATGGGGTTAGGTTGCGTTTTGATGCAAAGGGTTAAAGTAATTGCCTACGCATCAAGGCAACTTAAAGATCACGAGAAGAATTATCCCACTCACGATCTAGAGTTAGCGGTGGTGGTGTTCGCCTTAAAGCTTTGGCGACATTACCTTTATGGTACCAAGTGCACGCTTTTTATTGATCACAAGAGTTTGAAGTACATTTTCAATCAAAAGGAATTAAACATGAGGCAACGACGTTGGCTCGAGCTGCTCAAAGAATACGATTGTGAATTATTATACCATCCGGGTAAGACAAATGTAGTGGTAGATGCTTTGAGCCGAAAGGAGTATGGTAGTGGGACAAAAGCCGTGCTTACCAGAAAAGATATAGTGTCCAGTATGATTCATCGGATCAAAGTGGCACAACGTGAATCACTTGTTATAATCAGGTTTGAGACAACCTGGGTTGAGGTAATTTATACGTGTTCGTTATGTGGATTACGTGAAATATGCATGTCTAAGTAGAAATGCATGAACTATATATGTGAAATGTGAACATGATATTGTGCATGCATATATGTGATAAGATATTCTGGTGGAAACATTACTATATTATTTAAAAACTTATACCTTCATGGTTAAGAAATCATGAATTTTATAATGAAAAACCCACCACCCAAGGACCGCCATGGTGGGAGTATTTAAAGAAATAAAAAGATAAGATTCTATCTTAACATTTCATTTGAAGAAAAATCTGTTGAAAGAGAAAAGAGTGTTGTGGTGGTGAGAAGTGTTCTTGAACAAATCTTTTGTTCAAAGCTATTTGAAGAGCTTGTGATTTGCTGTGTGTTTTAAAACTGCAGAAACTGTGATTATTAAGGTGAGTTTTTTTAAAACTACTGTTGATTATAAACTGTGAGTTTTATAAATACTGTTGATTATACACTGTGAGTTTTTTTTTTGATGACTAAAATCTTTATATTTTGTTATATAAACTGCTGGGTTTTGATAKTGGTTTTGAAGAAAAGATGGTAAAACTATTTTGATAGTTTAAAAGTGTTATTGTTATATATTTGAGTATTAAAAATTGTGTTGGAAGGTTTAAGAAAGGATTGCTTCTTTAAAACAGTTTTGGAAATGATATCATGTTTTGAGGATTTAAAAAGGGATATGATATTTTGGAAATCATTAAAAGGAATAGATTGTTCTTGAGTTTGAAAGGTTTTGATGATAAAACTGTTGGTTGAAAACTATAGAGAATATTCTTTTGAGACGATTGTGATTTTGATCTGTCTTCATTTGAAATTAATCTATTGATTTTATGGATAAAACTATGAATGAGGATTCGATAAGATGGTTGTGACTGCGGTCCTTCA